CCCAAAAATTAAACAATTAATAAAATAAAATAAATAAATATAAAAAAAAAAATTATATGTCAATATTACAAAAGTAAAAAAACGCCCTCGTGAGAATATCAATTCACTGCTTTAATTAGTAAACCAGTTTATAATAAATACGCTTACTATATTCAGGAAATTCAGGATCGTCTAAGCCCAAGTAGTTTTAAAATTGATTACTATAATTGATTAATAGATTAAAATCATGCGTGCCGCCAAGGGAAAAGGGCCTCCGTTTTTTAATAAATTATTATTGAATCAATAATTTACTAAAAAACGGAGGCACTTTTTCCTTTGGCGGCACTCAAATATAAAATACTATCTGGCTTTAGACAACTCCCTGTATTCTGTCTTTAAGTTAATTAATAATATTGTCTCTTAATTTTGAATTCGCTGACAATTTCTGTAATACTAGTATATGCGTTACAAAAAAATGATTTTTCCTTTTGTAACAGTAAGACGAGATAATAAAACAATTCTTCCGGCTGCACTATTTGAAGTAGATGAAAGTTTTACTTTTGAACATTTACTTTATCAGGCAGATAGTGAATACGTTCCTGGAGAGAATGTTAAAGTTGAGATTCAGGTTAAGGGTACAAATACATGGCACAATGTTGTGTCTGGTATAAATGGAAGTTTAAAGCTGTGTACACGAGAAGAACAAAATATATCACATATTAGGTTTACTATTCAAGATGAATATCCTAAATCCTCTTCAAGCATTGTTCCTTCTACATATAATGCTTTTAATGAAATGATGAGTGCAGCATCCAAAAAAGTTTTGCCTGATTCAAAACTGACAACAAATCGTAATGATCATTTATACAATGATCTTTTAGCACTTTTACGTAGTAATAACCTTGGTTGGGAATATGGAACACATAATATAGCTGGTAAATCATTCGTTAATAAACTTACCTCTCTCCTTTATTATTTGGATGATAAGCATCAGACTCTTAAGTTACGTAGCCTTAAAATACCAACATTTTTTCTTCAATTACCGTTATATCAACAAAATACATATTATAAAAATGGATCTCACCATAAAACTACACTAAAGCGTAAAGATTTAGAATTTTATGCTGATAAATTAGAGGAGTGTATTCTAGAACCATGGGCAAGTAAATTATGTTGGAATCAGGTTGTAACTGCTAGTTTAGAACTGTGTTCTGTTGCTCGTACATATGCTAACTATTTAGAGACAGTTAACCAGCATATGCAAAGAATTCAACTTGCATCTGCTCCAGCACGAAGTCCTGAAAATAATAGTAATTTAGAAATACGAACTCCATGTGCAAAAAATGCTATTAAAGAAATATATTTACCAATTGCTGAACATATTAAAGATACAAGCGAATATGAAATTATATCACTTGAAGAATTTTTACCTGAAAACAAAGAAAAACGATTCTTTTATCTATCAAATCTTACTATCGATTCTACAATTATGTTATATCGATATCATCATGGAAATTATTTAGGAACTTTAAATTTTATTTGGAAAATTCCTGAAGATTTTGAATTACGTGATGATACAAAAAATGCTCAAGCAATAATTCGAACACAATCATTATTACCTCAATTTTTTACCCGATATATGAGAAGACATATGTTTGCAAAAGTAAATTTTTTATATATTAATGTGTATTATATTAAAGTATTTAATATATAATGATATTAATAAGTTTTATTTATTAAATAGTATTCTCTAATTACAAAAATTACTCCTAGTGTATTACGTTATTTATATCATGACTTAGTTGGTGACTCTAGTGCTGTAGACAATTCATACTCTGCTGAAGTAGACCAAAGATTAAGAACAATGCTTGAACTTGGTGATCCTGAAATTTGTATTGATATGCGCAAAAATAATGGATTTAAAGGCACTAAATTTGATGAATTTTGGAATGAAATGGAATCTTATTTTAGTGAAAATCTTTTATCAGTACATGAAAGGCGTCATAGCAATATACTTTATTTGCCAAGTTTTATTTCAGTTAGAGATTTAAGAGAATCTATTGTAGAACGATTAGAAAATAAGCGTAATGAACATCCACTTTCTAATAATTGTTTAGTACCATCTGATCGCTGGATTTCTTATCAGTTCTGTCCAAAAAATAATTGGTATAAAGCTAGTACACAGTATACAGGACGATTTCAAATTAAATATATGGTACAAACTCGACAATTAAGAAAATCTCATATTGATGTTCACTATTGTCAAGCAATTTTTAAATATATTCGACAATTTGCATCAAAGTACAGACAATATACATGTCTTATTTTTGCTGATGATAAACACAAAGTACCAATTGGAGAAGAAGTACCAACAAGTACTGGAGTTCGAAATAAAAAATCTGCTACATTAAAACAAACTGAGCTTTCAGCATCTGATCATGATTTTACAAAACTTTCAATAACTCCTTCAGTTTCATTATTTACTAAAATTCCTGAAGATCTGACTCAATCATTTTATGTTGGACAAGTATATATTGCATTAAAAGATACTACTTTTCAAGCTAGTTCAGCTCTTAGACATGCTACAGAATTCTACGATTCAATAGAACAACATTATTATAATGCTGATTCACTACCAGAAATTATTATATTATATACAGATGGAGGGCCTGATCATCGGTGCAATTTTGGATCTGTTCAAGTTTCACTTATTTCACTTTTTTTAAATGGGGATTTTGATTTAGTAATTGCTGCACGTACAGCACCTTTTCATAGTTGGGCAAATCCTGCTGAGCGAATAATGTCTATTCTTAATCTTGGTTTTCAAAATGTTGCTCTTCAACGTGAACAAATGTCTGAAGAGTCAGAATTTATTTTTCAAAAATTACAAACACTAGATGCAATTCGTAAGGAAGCAGAAAATAATTCTACTTTAAAATCTGAATTAAAATTATCAATTGATAAAATACAAAATATACTTTTTGATCGTATTAGAAGATTAAAGTTACATGATGATTATTTTGAAATAAATAATCCAGCATCTGAAGAAGATATTGATACCTTTTTTAAAGTAATTAATTAATTTAATAAGTATATTATTATATTTCAAATTTACTAAAATTTTTTTTATTATAAAGATAATGGCTAAAATAGATCCAGAATTAGATAAATCAATGACTACAATGAATCAATTACTGAAAAGAAACTTATATCAAGACTTTGTAAAAAGCCATTGCCGTATTAGAAATTATATGTTTCAAGTATAATTTATACAAATTTTTATAATTAAAATTTTAGTTTATTAGCTAACAGCTTATTATATAATATATTAGGTAATGAAATGTAACAGACATAATTGCAAAGTATGCAGAAAAGTTCGTATGCCTTATGATGATTTTCAAAGTTTATCTTTTATTCCTGATCCAGAACCATTGGAAAACGGTAATATTATATTAAATTTAAATTGTTAACTATTTTTACTAAATTAATTTATTTATTATTAATAGATAAGGACCATTATAAAGAATTTGAAATAATTTATGGCAAACCAACTTTAGAAAGGTTTCGCCCATCAGCAATGAACATAACTATTGATGATGAAATAGGCGAAAAAAGACCAGGTCAATTTGTTAATACAAAAATTAGACGTACTATAACATGTGAATATTGTGGCAAAATGCGATGTATTTATAGTAATATTGCTTTAACAAATAATGAGGAAATCAAACTTCAAACTACTCTTGATGGTCTTTACTATAGTTGTGGATCACAATTGCTACCAGAAGATCATGAACTTTCAGAGCATTTAAGTATTAGACTAAATCTTACCTGTGATTCTCCTATTGAATCAACATATTTTTCATGGCGTCTTAAAAGGTTTGATATTTGTTATTGGTGTGGAGAATCTATAGATCTTATTGAACCTTCTGATACATTGAAAAATGAATGGAAAACTATATATCCATTATGTTCATTTTGTAAAAATAATGGAAAAACATGGCATAAAAGGGCACCTAAAAAATTTAATCAATTAAGTAGTACCGAAGAAAGTAGTAAAACTAATACTACAAATAAAAAACAAAAAACTTAATGTATGAATTATACAATATATTTTATTTTAGAAGAAAATAAACATTTATATTAACATTTTTCTTTAATTAATATTAAGACTTAAAAACAATTTCAAATGCTTAGTTGAGACAAATTCTGGTTAAAATAAAAAATAAATAACATTCTGGTAAATCATCTTTAGGTTCGACTTCAACCTAATTTAGGTT